CCCCCCCCGCCTCCTTAATCCCCCCCCCCCCCCCCCCCCCCCGCTGTAGAAACAAGGAGAGGAGGAGGTGGCGTCTCACCACGAAGCCGCGTTCCCCATCGCCGTGGTGGCGTCCGGCGTGTGGGAGCTGCACCCTCGGGTGGGAGAGCTCATCCTCGCTCACCTGCACAGGAAGTGTCCGTACGCCGTCCCTCACTACCCGCCCATGAAGGACGGCACGGCCGTGGAGGAGTACCAGAGGATTCTCGGTTACCGCGTGGACGACTCCGGGGTCGAAGGTCAGGACAGTTTCCTGAAGAGGATGTCGGGGATGATCCGGCTCTACGCCGCCGTCATCCAGCTGAGGTGGCCCTACGGCTCCAAGCAGGCGGTGAGAGGCGACCCTCCTGCACTCGTATTTATTTAATACCGTTCAGCGTCTTTAAACCTCTTGGCTCTCCTCGATGTGTTCCAGGCCGCTCCTCACGGGCTGAACAACGGCTGGCGTTGGTTGGCTCAGATGCTCAACATGGAGCCTCTGGCCGACATCACGGCGACGCTGCTGTTCGACTTTCTGGAGGTGAGTCCTGTTCGTTAAAAGGTCACGTTGCTGCCTCCGCACGCACGCACGCACGCGAGAATATTAAGATAGAATACACGCCACATACTCTTGAGAAAGAGTCTAATAAAGAGTCTATGAAGCGATCCAACTGTTTTCTTTTCTTTTTTTCTTTTTGTTTTTGAAAACTACGTGTTTTTTTTGTTTCCACTCATTGATTTCCTCTGTAAAATACGCAACGTAAACGTTGTACTTGTTACTGTACTACGTCTCAGAGGTACTTGTTACTGTACTACGTCTCAGAGGTACTTGTTGCTGTACTACGTCTCAGAGGTACTTGTTGCTGTACTACGTCTCAGAGGTGAATGTTGTTGCAGTAACATTAATCCAGAACCATCAGATATGATAGTAAAACATTTTACTGATCAATCATTACTTTTACTTCAAGTACTTCAAGTACATTTAGGTGATAATACATGCAGGCCTAACTCGTAGTGTTTTCACAGTGTGTTGTTGGTAAAGGGTCTGAGTTTTACTGCGGTCAGTGAACGCAGCGGTGTGTTGAATACTCTGCGTCTCCTTCAGGTCTGTGGGAACGCTTTGATGAAACAGTATCAGAGCCAGTTCTGGAAGCTCATCCTGCTGCTCAAAGAGGAATACTTCCCGAGGTACTCGCTCATTTAAATATTTAAAGTATGTTTAGATTTGTAGTTTGTAAGAGTTAGTTGAAGTTTAACTTGCGATGTGATAAATGTGTGTTTAGGATTGAAGCGGTGACCAGCAGTGGACAGATGGGCTCAGTCATCAGACTCAGACAGTTTCTAGAGGTACGTAGTGCTAGTATTAATAATAGTAGTATTATACTCTTTGTTTTATATATCTTTAAAAAAAAAGCTTAATTGTATTCTATTCCCAACACGACTTATCTGTTTTAATATTATTGTTTGTATCTCATAATAATATTTGGGTATTTTATTAATTTTGCATTGCTGTGTGTGTGTGTGTGTGTGTGTGTGTGTGTGTGTGTGTGTATGTATGTATGTATATATGTATATATATGTATATATGTGTGTGTATACATATACATATGTATGTATGTATGTATGTATATATGTATATATATGTATATATGTGTGTGTATACATATACATATGTATGTATGTATGTATATATGTATATATATGTATGTATTTATATGTATGTATGTATGTATGTATGTGTGTGTGTGTGTGTGTGTGTGTGTGTGTGTGTGTGTATATATATATATGTGTATATATATGTATGTATGTATGTATGTATTTAAATGTTTAATGTACACTCAGCACTGAATACATATGACCATGTGATATTTCAGTTTTTCTTTTTTAATAAATTTGCAAAAATTTCTACATTTCTGTTTTTTTCTGTCAAGATGGGGTGCTGAGTGTACATTAATGAGAAATAAAATGAACTTTTTTGATTTTAGCAAATGGCTGCAATGAAACAGAGTGAAAAATTTAAAGGGGTCTGAATACTTTCCGTACCCACTGTATGTATGTGTATATATATATATATATATGTATATGTATATATATATGTGTATGTATATATGTATATGTATATGTATATATGTGTATATGTATGTATATGTGTATATGTGTATGTATATGTATATATACATTTTTTTTTTTTTTTTTTTTTTGTTACTCTTCATTTATAAAGTTTGTTTCTTGAGAATGAACTGAGCTCTTCCTGCTCGTCCGTAGACGTCGCTGCAGAGCCGACAGATCCGTCCGCCTAAAGGCCAGCTGAGCTCCATGTTCTGGGGCTCGTGATGGAGGAAGAGGAGCCGCCATGTTGGATGTAGCGGCGTGACGCTGTACAGGACTGAATGAAGGGGGGGGGGGGGGGACGTAGACTGTGGAGGGGGACTTTAGTCGGTAATCGGGGAAGAGAAGTTGAAGCTCATGAACTTCAGTCTTTAACTGGACGTCTCTCAGAACTCAACATGTTTGGAAGAAGTTTTTTTTTTTTAACGCTTCTAAACCTTCAACATCTGTTCAGAGTTTTTTCTGCTTCTTCCAGCTTCAGAATGTACTTCATCGAGGTCTTCACCATGAGGTGTTGCTGTGATTGTTTGGATGTAAATGTTCAGGATCATAGTGTTGAAGCTGTTTTAACAGTTGTCACTAGTTAAGAAGAGCTCTGACTATACTCACTCTCTGCCGTCTGTTTTTAGTTCAACAGTCGCTGCTCAGACTGTTGGAACGATTTTAACTTTTGTCTTTATGAATCCACCATGTGGAGCAAAGACTTGTGGGTCAGATGAGCTGTTGAATCATCGTGAAGTAAGATTATATTTATCAAGAGGAGTTTAACTGCTGAAGCGCGTCAGTCGCTATTGTTCCAAAACACTAAAGATTTGATCATAAATCTGAGTTTGTGGAGCAGAGGTCTGAATATAATGTGGATTATTAGTGTTAATAGAATGATCGTCTCCATCTGTGAACCAAATGTCTGAAATAAAACCTCGTCAGCAGTTTACTCAGTTTGTCGGCCTTTGATTTAGTTTTCCTCTTTTTGTAAATTAGACTATTCTACGGAGCCTCACAAGGGTCAAAAAAATGGGAACTATGCACCGAAACACCAAGTTAAATGTGGCCATAAACCTCATTAGTTGAAATTATAAAAATATAGTTAATGTGGAAGCTGACTTTAAGAGAAACTGATGTATAAATGATTACTAAAGATGTAATAACTCAAGTCAGTTTCCTTTTTATTAGATTTTTACCTTTTCACAACTAAGCACATCAAGTTGGTTTTAATAAAATTAATTCAGAAATGCATCTGCAGTTTAAATACACAAACTGGAGGGTCACCAGTTCTTCTTACACTTTAATATAATTAAACTCCTGAAGAGAACAGCATCAGATGAGCTCATTGATTCCTGCATCAGTTACAATCACCTGAAATAAAATGATCTGAAACAAGTTCACACAAAGAAATAAATCCTAAATGATCACTTTTTTCCCCAGACAAAGCTGAAAGTATCCGACTTTAAATGTCAACTTAACTAAATGATAAACTTAGCCGAGTCAACTGGATCTTAATTGATCAACTAAAGATCATTTTCCTTTTCAGTCTGAGGTTTAGAAGCTAAAATCTTCATATTTATCGGCAAAAATTGGAGCAAATGTGAAGAAATTAAAACAGATTTTTACTTTTTATTTTTCATAAATACAAGCAGCACTTGAGTCTTTGCAGGAGCCAAAAACCAAAGAACCGGTGGTTGAGACCGGCTGAAATAAACCATGTTCATTCACAAAGACAAGACTAGTGTGAACCAGTTTTTATTTGGTCATGGTGAAGACTGAAAGTATTTGAGTTAAGCTTTTATTGTCTTTAATTCAGAGTCTGGAAATGTGTAAAGAAATAGATTTCTAGATCTGCATAGAAACTCTGCAGACTGAAGTATTAAAGGGACGATTCGTGAGATTTTCAGCTCCATGTAATGAAAAATAAAACAAACTTTTGAGGGAAATTAACAGAATCGCTGCTTCAAAGATAAACTTATTGTTTATTTAATTTTTTGCAGTTCCCACCACTCAGCAGTAGAGGCCAGTAAAACACCTAAAACCAGGCCGGTGTGATAATTCCTCTACAGCAGCAGCTTAATAATTAAATGGTCAAATCAGATATAAGGCGACAGTATTTATGTGTTTAATCTCTTCATCTACATAAACGTCTGCAGGTTTGAATCCATTCATTTATCAGGGATTCTCAAACCCCTTTCACAATAAAAGCGGGTCTTCTTTCTTCCTGTTTCCCGGTCTCCGTCCGTCCGTCTTGGCAGTTTACCGTTTAGTCTCTCCGGTGTTCTTTCACTCGTTCACGCATCGCGGCCCTCGTGGTTGAGCGACGCCCTCTCCATACGTCTGTACCAGTGTTTGACTTTCGTGTTCACCATCATGTCGTCAAACGCCTGCAGGCCGTCCATCACTCTGAGCACACCGAACACCGCCTGCAGAGGAAACAGTTCAACCACAACACATTCTGTTCACCAGGAAAACAATATAAGAAAATAAACAGTTTTAGGAGCCAGAAAATGAGAAGTGTTTATAGTCTGTACGGTGGCCGTTAAAGGACATTTTAAGCCTCAGAATATGACATTTTACAGACTATTAATGAATCAACACGTTTTATACCAAAAGCTTGAGGTTTGTACGTTACCATACATTTACTATTAGACATTAACTTTATATACTTCTAACGGGTTTACTACGTTTAAATCTCTTCTACCAAATTATACATATATATTATATCTTTTAGCAAATTTAAACTTATGCACTATTTTATGTCTTAGATTCTTTGTATATATTATTATTTTATTTATATATTGAGCTTTGTTGGATGGGAGCTTCTGCTTCTCTGCACCTCATAATAATAAAACATGCTAACTGTTAGCGTTTGTGTTGAGTTATAAGAGTTTAGTTGTCACTAACAATTAAAAATACAGTTAAAAAGAAACATTTATGTCAGGACGAGTGATAAAAACTAACAAAGTTTGAAGAGAAGAACAGAACATTTGTAGCATTTGAGTGAATTCTAATTGTTTTATCTCAAAGTTGATGCTGAGTTTTAAGAACTGTCTGCAGATCCCCAAAGGGATGTGAAAGCTGTAGAGAGACAGAGAGAGACGTGTCCTCTCACCAGGTCGGCCAGGTTTGGACGATCTCCTCCCATGAACTTCCTCTTCTTGCCGATGGCTGCCACCCAGTCGTTGACGGCCTTGTAGAGATCCTGCCTCACGTCGTCCTGCAGCTCGTATCTGTTTACCCAAGAAGAAGAAGAAGAAGAAGAAGAAGAAGAATCACTACTTTGACCTCCAAAATAAAAGAAGATCTGTCATTAAAAACATTTTCACAAACACAACGGAGACAGTTTGGAGCTAAACCCGTTTAAAGGATGCCTCACCGACTCTTCAGCCGCTTGGCGATGAGAAACATGGCGGCGGCACCGACATATTTGGCGAAGAATCCTTCGTAGGTGCCGAACTTTCCCTCACGCACGATGTAGTCGAAGGAGGCCAGGGCCTCGCCGGTGGTCCGGTACACGTTGGGAGATATAAGATGCACGAGCCAGTCGTCGACCCACTGACGCCACTTCATCTCCTCTCTGAACACAAACCAGTTTATACACAGTTTAACTGTTTTTACAGGTGTGCAACGCAGCCATTGGATGACAGCAGCCCTTCAAAATAAGAGTATGCAGACAACCATACTACTGAGTATACCAGAGAGAGATTTAAAAGATCTTACTTTCACAAATAAAATTAATAAAACTGATGCATTTTCCACTTACAATTTAAGCGGCATCTAAAGAATCTCAACAGATGAATAAGAACTGGAAAACATTTTAACACTTTTAACAAACTGCAGGCAGCAGTAATATGGCCGCCGCCTGAAGAGGTTAAAACTCTCTCTGCACATACTGAAACATCGAGGCAGGTTTATCAATGTGGAGGTCAGTCAATGAGGAGGAGGAGGGTGACATTTATATTTACAGAAACACACTAATGACGCCGCGCTGTTGTTGTGACCTGCCGACTTTAATGAGGATCCGGTCTGGGACCAGGACTCACTTCTGCATCTCCTTCTCTGGGTAGAGCGCCGTGGCCTCGGCCTCGCCCAGCATCACCCAGTACTTGTTGGAGTACTCCGTCACCTCCTTCCCGCGGTTGTTCACAGACTTCATCTCCGGGTAGCAGCGAAGGATGTCCGACACGTTTTTGTCCCTAGAAGACAAAACGTTCACATTTAAAAAGGGCCACTGCACCCAAACACACACCAAACACACCGTATATTTCCTCCCTTACCTCTAGTGATGGACACACATGCATCATAGTTTGGGTTTTATTTGCCCGGGCAATTTTAGAAAAGTAACTTTATTGAATCTGCTCATTATTTTCTTGATAAATCGCCTTTTAAATTTTCTAAAATGTCTGAAAATAGTGAAAAACGGGCGTTGTAATTCCCCACAGTCAAAGGTAACGTCTTCAAGTGTGTTTTATTAACCCGACCAACCAAAACCCAAAAGATCTTCAGTTTACCGTCACGTATGATGAAGAAAAGCATAGAAATCTCACATTTATGAAGCTGGAACCAGCTCACTTTTGACATTCATACTGTAAAAAAGACTCAAAACAATTTAGTGATTTTCAAAATAGTTGCAGATTAATTTAAACTGTGAAGTCTGAAGACTATCCAGTAAACCTGAGACATTATCTAAATGGAAAGACACATTTCTGCTGAATTTCTGACGATAAGTTCAATGCTTTGAGCTCCACAACCACATGAGTGAAGCTACAACTTACTTGCTGAATAAATAAGTCTTGAGGGAGCTGATGATGACAGACGAGTCATTCAGTTGCTGCAGAGAGAAAAGACACAGAGGGTTTATTTATGAGGTCGCCATCTTGGATTACGGCCGTCGCCATGTTGGTTTTTTTGCAACCAGTGAACAGGAAGTAACCATATCTGGACTGAGGAGGAGTGACGTAGAGACGCTGTATACGTCTCTTGTAGAGACCTGTCAATCACCGTGTAGCCCCGCCCTAAAGCATCCCCT